CGTAGAAACGTGAAATTTGGAAGACATATTCCTTATACAATGTAAGCATCCGCTAAGAAAGGATTTTTCGAAATTCATCCCGTAAAATAGAGGATAAAAGATTGTATGAAACTCTGTTACTCTTAACGGGAAATGCACGGAAAGTGGTATTTAGCTTTAAGATGAAAAATACGAAACACGTGTATTCGATTTTTTTCGAAATTCATCCCTTAAAAGGGTAAAAGGAGGTAATAAAGTTTATATGAGCAAACAATTATTTATGATCAGAATTACCTACTTGAAACTTGGTATTAATGCTCTTCAATACAATTAAATAGATACATATTTTAGCATTTTTGGAAATTCAATCCCTTAAGGGGGTAAAATGGGGGATGAAAGTTTGTATGAAACTCTGTAATTAATACACGGAAAGTGGTATTTACCTTTAAAATGAAAAATAAAACGATACAAAATATTTTTTTTTCAAAATTCATTCCTTAAAAGGATAAAAGGGGGTTGTGCTGTTTATATGGGGAAAAAATTGTTGAATATATTTAAAAAGAGTAACATGACTCAATTTCTCCATAAGTACACACTGTATGGGATATAAAGTAGAGAACAGAAATTATTCCGAATCCAAAGAAAAAATATGTATAACTTCTCGGCTGGCCACAGCAATGACAACTATAACAGACCTAGAGCGCGAGAGCGAAAACCTAGCTAGAGAGTATCCTGTTATCTTCATATATCCTCCTTCTAAAGGTTAGCATACGTGTAATGAAAAAAATCACCTAAGTTATGTAACGAGTTTCGACTGTGAGTAATTCATTAAGCATTACAGCGGCCACTGCGCTTGCTGGATCAGCTCAGGGGGAATCGGTATCCATATCTCGAATACCACTGATAACCTCTGACTACACGTTTGAATTCAATCTATTGTAATTCCTCCTTAAAGTTTGCTTTACAATGACCATTAATATATCTAGATAAGGCCAGTCGTTAAAAGAAGCAGGCATAGACTTAAGAGAGGATTTCTTGTCACGGGGACATTTTAACAGAACTGGCAACTAGATAGAACATCCATCAATGTGATATATTTGTGGTTGGTTTTTAGCGTAGACCAAGTTAAGTGAATCTAGAGTGATTAGGTATATAAATGAATATATAATATTAAAAATTCTATAAGACAACATATAAATTCAATAGAAATTAAAACTGAACAATTTCTTTAATAGTTAAAATGAGGCCGGCCATACACAGACCGCTCTTGCTGCTGCACTGATTTTGCTTAACTGCTGCATTTGGTATCAACTGATGGAGTGTTTTTCATAGTCAACACTTGTGACGTTATTGTGAGACCTGCAAAGTGGATATCTATCTCTATTGTGGACATAGTTTGTACATTGCTTACCCTAAGCTTAGCTCGAGAGATTGGCCACTATGATACACCTGTAATGTTATTGGCGAAGCATCGAATTTTGGCTGCTCACAACATATATAGTTGATATGCAAAAAAATGTTTAACTGACAGTACTGAGTCTTAAGGTACACAAAATATATTTTTTTCGTGAAAATATCACAAAGGATCAAATATTTTTTTAAAACAAGGTTGGTGATCTTTGTTAATAATTTCAAAATATCTATTAAAATACAGTATTTTTGGTGAAATTAAAAAGGCTACGTCAGAATGATGAAACCAGTATGAAAAATTGGTGACTCAAACTATTAGCTTTACATGAGTAATTTTATAGTAATATAACTCTCACGATACCCTATCAATGTACAAATACACCAGCATAGATATTAAAAATAGTATGGATTACGCTTTTATCTGCAAGTTTTATAACATGTAGGGTTGCCACGCTAGCGATTTCAACTGAATATTTCATACTTATGCTATAATAAATAAAGGTTATATTTGTCTTTTTTTTAAATTTAATTAGTGATTTAAAAGACCATACTACAGTAAACAATGTAAATGAGCTTGCAAATGTTTAACAGGTTTTTAATAAAATATAAAAAAAATGGAATTGGAACAATTTGAACACCGCTACGTTCGCGCGATTAAAATGAGTTCACTTAGATGATCAAAGATCATGCTACCTTTTTTTTGATGATCCCTAAATTGCTATAATATTATGATTCCTTATTGTTTTAAATATTACATCACACTCCAGTGGTGTCATGTAGTATACATAGTATAATAGTGTTACGTTTAGTTCTATGAGTTCGGAGATCGAAATTAAAGCACGTCTTTTGCACTATTGATGTTTTATTGCTCTTGGTCAACAAGAGTGACTTACGGAGATTCACTAACACGCGCAGTATATACACGTTCTGCACAGTTCTAGTTAAACTCAGTCACTGAACACTAATCTTCACCACTAGATGCACTTTCACTATGACATCACTTTTCACTTTTTTGTACTTTTTCTCAGTCTTTACTTAACTTCGAAATTCAACTGATCTCTCGACACACTGCCGGCCTTTTTATGTATATGCATAAACAAATAACATTCTAGTGTTCGAAAATTCGAAACCTTTCTAGTAATTTCAAATGTTTTGTTCCTCTCTCACTCTTACACACGGCAATTTATGATTAACTATTCTTGTCTAAATCTCGAAACTTTTAGTAATTTCGATGCCTCTTAGGAAATGTTTTTACTACTGTCTTAGGATGTATAAAGCATGCTTCAGACGTGTCTTTTTAATTATTGTTTTTGGCGTAATGACTACGTATCACTTTCCATTACGCGACGACAGTATGACATAGGAACACGAAAGACTTGTTAGTTTACCGCGGATTATTTTTGTACAAGTAGTGATTTAGTATATTACCATAATATTATGATATTCACAAACAAAAATATTTAACTAATTAAGATATGACAATTCTTACTATGTTGTAAACCACTGTCCTGAATGATGTATTTCATCAGTTCAAAATAAACAGCCGGATCTAAAAAATAAATCTTGGCTTTTCGGTTGACTTTCGGAAACGAATTCAGTCCTGTAATAAAATGGCTATGCACTAAGAAGAATTTATTGAAATTCTATCAATGAAGAGGTTGTTACTTGAAGATTGAATAAAATAATTCATATGACAAACAGTGTTATGGATAATTTTACTTAACAAATTGATACAATTATTTAAATACGTAATTCTTCATTCAAGAAGAAGGAAATGAAGGAAAGAAGATCAAAGCTTACAAACAACAGTACTTTGACATAATTAATGAAACTAGAATATACTGTAGAGGAACTGCAGCAGTTTATTTTTCAGGAATAAGTAGAAAAGAAATCGGGTGAGCCCACTAAATATGCCTTAAATTATTTAAAAAATATTTAACTTTAATCTAGAAACTACCTTTGAAATATATTATTCCAAATTATATTCTTTTTTTTTTAGACAATTGTTTACGCTTTTTCTTAGACACTAAAAATATCTTATCTTTGTGACAGTAACTATTATTAAATAATAAGTCTATGCTTTTCCAAGTAAGCATCAGGGTTCGAATCTGACGATTTACGTTTGCATATTTCTTTTTTTGTTCTTTCCTTCTTGCCTTTTCCGGTAATATTTTTTCTGTGCTCTGTTTCCTTTATCAGACTTTTTAAATTGTGAATTTTCAAGATCCTTCTTATAAGTGGAACTTGAAAGTTTCGACGATCTTGCTGGCTTACGGTCTCTTTTGCTAGTTTTTTTTACACTGTGGGCACGAGAGAACTATGAGAAGGAGTAATAAGGGGGTGATTTCGTATATTAATACCAGCAACAAGATTTAATGATTATAGAAATGTACATAAAATTTGAAATTTTCCAAATTATGTTCACTCTCGGTATTCCAAATTAACATCATGACATCCTAACTTAAAATTACATGTCACATTTGTAATCATAGAAATATTGAAAATTCTAAGCAATATTATAAACTAACTAGCATTGCCCTCGGCTCCGCCCGTGTTTAGATGATAAAAAACTACATTCTTAGGCTTTACATATTAATTTACTCTTACAGTGCAGTTTTTGTATTTTTTCTTAGAAATGAGATATTTTCCCGTAAAAAGTATTCTATATGTTGACCCGGATAACCAGCTATCATTATTCCAAATTTCATCAAAATCCCTCCAGTGGTTTTTCTGTGATGCGGTAACAGACAGACAGACAAAAATTCTAAAAACTATAGATTCGGCCTCTATATCGATAATAATGTTTATTTCAATAAGACTTTCCAAAAAATATTTAATGTACAGATTCGGCTTAGTTATAATTTTATTATATGTATAGATAAGTTCACTGAACAGCTTAAATAATTACAATGGAGATTTTACGATCACAGTAAATGATTATCAAGGATTGCATTCTTACCGAAAAAGTTTTCAAAGATGATATTTCGTTCCCGTGTGGTTTGCCGCAGAAATATCTAGATTTCGACCTGTTTTCAGTACTTTCCTATTTGTTTTCAGTACTGTTTTCAGACTTTGTATATCATTAGACTTTATGTTTACGTTATGTAATACTGATTGCATTTATATTAATTTAGATGTCTAAGTATTCCGACTTACCTCAGTATTCCAAATATGCTGCACTTGCCTGTACTCTACAGTGTATACATGTATCTTTAAAGTAAACAATTTTATTTGAATGAATAGTATTCATGCCGAATGGACGAATAATGCTTCAAAAGGATATATTTTGTATGTACGAAGGCAAATTTCATATAATATATGTATGTGTGTATGTAACATTTCTCTTATGATTAAAATAATACAGAAACATGTTATATGTAACATATAAATATTATATATACAAAAGCGTTATAGGTTATTTACAAATATGTTCACAAAGTGTAAACTAAAGCTTACGCCAATAGTATGTATACCTAAATAGCAAAGCAATTAGTCGCAACTAGCCCAACCATTAGCATATGAATATCGTCACCTTATTTATTATTCTATCTACATGTATGTATGTATTTGAGAAGTTTATTTTGGTTTTAGGTGTGGATATAAGTCCGAGTATGTGGCTATTCCGGTCGAAGAGGCAAAGATCATCCAGTCTGACTTACGGGGGTCCAGCAATAGTTTCTGCAGCGGATGGTGCTGTGCCTTCGGTGCAGGTCGTCTCACAGATGTATAACGTCATGCCTCGGAAGAGAGGGCTCTTTGTAAGTAGACATCAAATTAATCAGTTATGTATAATATATAATTTTTACAATGCTTAACTAAACCTTATAAAAGATTCGCCATTTGAAATTGTTTCATGTATGTAGTTCTCGAAATGTGTTATTAACCGTATAATCAAGGCAAGACATTTTTTTTATTGATTGGATTCACCAGTGGCAATTACAATATTACAATTTATTATTATATACGAGTACAATAGTTCTTATAGACAATTGCATTACCTTTTAAGGTGTATACCACATGCAAATATGGAGATTTTATAAAATGTTTACATTATATCTATATTACAATAACAAATCTTTACATATAATAAAATTGTAACTTAGTCGAATCTGAACATTAAATATTTTTTGGAAAATCTAATTGAAATAGATATTATTATCGATATAGAGTCCGAATCTATAGTTTTAAGAATTTTTGTCTGTCTGTCTGTCTGTTACCGCATCACAAGAAAACCACTGGACAGATTTTGATGAAATTTGGTATGATGATAGCTGGATATACGGGTCAACATATAGGATACTTTTTACCGCGGGAATATATCTCATTTCTGAGAAATAATATAAAAACTGCATCGTAAGAGTATACTAATATGTAAAACCTAAGAATTTGGTTTTTAGTCATCTGAATGCGGGCGGAGCCGCGGGCAATGGTAGTTACTATTATAAAATATATATAACAAAACACACTAACACAGTTAGAATAATACACAAAAATTAAAAAGGTTACAATTCGAATAAAAAAAAAACAGGAAGAATTACAAAAGAAATTAAAGGTATTTCTATGCATTTTTTTGGAACTTAGGTAGCAAGTCTCGGAATGGATCCAAGGTGCTATGATTATTAATAATATTACAAAAACATGACAAGGGTGAGTGATTACCTAAAACAGATCTGCGAGAAGGCGCTACGAGAATGTTGATTGGCTTGCGTGGACACCTAGGCACTTTTAGATTAAAAGATAATACTAGTGATGGATTGTCATATACCTATACTGTTAATAGTTTTATATAAGAAACTTAAATCCAATATATCTCTTATTTTTTCCAGACTATAATTATAATATATTTCCTAAAATACGTAAGCCTTTCTGTATCAGTTGCAAGTGATCTATATTTGCCCAGTGAGAAAGCCAAATAATAAAAAAAAGCTTTTGGAACCTTTCAATTCTCAAACAGTGGGTAGCCTAATAGGGTCTCCAGAAAACACTTCCATACTCCAAAATACTCAAAACTAAACTTTTATAAAGAGTAATTTTTGTTCGAATATTTTTAAATACCTTACAATTTCTGATTACGATAGACGATCCTAGCATTTTACTGGCCTTACTGACGATACTGTCTATAAGTATGTGGCACAAAAGTAAGTTTTATGTCGAATAGAATACCTAAATCTTCTATAATATCTACAGTACTCAAAGGCTGACATACATTCAAATAATATATTTTAGTCATATTTGTTTTTTTTTCGTAAAGGTTATGTGGGAACACTTACTTGAGTTCAATATACATACCATTTAGCTTACACCAATTATGCAAGCTTGTCAAATCTTCCTGTAATGAATTAATATCATTAGGATTATTGATAGTTTTAAGAAGTTTGAGATCATCTGCAAACATAAATGGCGTGAAGCAAGAGAAGTAATTCAGCAAAATAAAAATGTCTGCCAGTTAGGTATGATTTCCTCCAATTCAATATGGAATTAACAACGCCATAAACTGATAGTTTATATAGTAATATAGAAATAGTTATGGATGTATGGTAATTTTAGGTGTAATATAGATAGGCCAGGGTAAAGGCTTTATTCAAATCAGTATAAATGACTTCAACTCCATTCCTTTTTCTACTGCATCTATTAACATTTCAGAAAAGTGAACCAAGTTTGTGCATGTAGACCTACCAGTAACAAAACCCATTATACCCACAAAATTATGCTATGATTTTAAAAATACAAAAATGGCACCAAAGTATTTGCTCATTTTAATTTCAAACTAGTTTTATTGCTGATTATTAATTATTATTCACTTAATTTTAGTTACTATTTAATTATAATTATAAACTTAAAGAATTTTCAATAATAAATTATCATCGTATGTATAATTTAAAAAGTTAAAAATAAGAATTAATAATTTAATTTGTTATATAACAATATTATATAATATACATTTATAAAATGTATATTTCTGTATTTAGAATTTTACTGATTAAAAAATCAGCACTTATGTTTGTTTTGATAGATTTTTCGAGTAGCTTGTTATGACACGATTATCTTGAGTGAAATTTGTATTAGTTTTACATTTTGCATCTTAATTTTATAAATATATAATTCACACATATTCACATATGCACACATTTATATAACTAATAAAATGGTAATATGTCCTATATATTCGGCGTAGGCCCTGAGATCAGATAGAATAACCCCAATTAGGGCGGACCAATTTCGTTGTTGTTGTATGTGCCCTAGTAAAGTATTTTCATATGTAATGTTATTAATAAATCACCATAAAATTACATGGACTTTTTCTTAAAGTTCACTCGAACAAGTTAATGCAGCACGAAGCTTCAAGCAATACAACCAAAAGCCAACGCAACTTAACAAGCTTTTCCAATTTTTGAATGTCAGTATAAAAACAAATTAGGTACCGGTTTATTAATCGGGTAAAATATGTCACTTCTCATGTGTTCATTATAAAATTTTCCTCGATTTTAACATGGTCGTCGTTATATGGTAATGTGAGAGTGTGAGATAAATCTTTGTTAACATTTTTATTTTGTTAATAATCTGAACATAAGTCACTAAGAAGTTTTTTTTTATATATTATGAAAAGTATATAAATACAATGTAAATATGGGTTTAATAACTTCATTTGTTCTCTCTTATCTTATATCGTAATCTATTTTAATATAGCATAAATATTGTTTTATTACATGATAATTGATAAGAATTTTCTATCATCCATAACATTATCTTAAGATATATATATATATATATATATATATATATATATATATATATAGTTTTGTCATTCATTTTTTTTAAGAAGACAAGAGATATCTAGATCTGCATTCGGGTATTAAGTTTACGATGCTTACTACAAGTTATTTAAATTATCAGGTATCAAAATTGATAACTGCGAGAGAATTCTTAGAAATATTTTATTTTTTCATCAAAATTCAGTAGAAAAATCGGTCAAGCGACAGTCGAATTCGAAATATGGTGTGTACATATTTATAATATGTATGTATTTAAAATTATATATGTGTAGTGTATCAACTATCTGGTATTCATAACACAAGCCTCGTAGCTTACCATGGAACTAGATGGTACTATGTGTTAATCCCCCAACATATTTATTTAATATTTATGTAGTATGTTAACTTCGAAGATCGATTACAAACGTTAAAAAAATCTTTTATTTTTTTATTATTTGTTTGTTGTTATAGCGGCAATAGAAATACTTACTCTGTTAAAATTTAAACTTTCTACCAATTACAGTTCACGAGATACAGTCCTCTGACGGACGGACAGCGGAGGCATAGTCCCTAATAGGATTCCGTTGACACCCTTCGGGTACGGAATCCTCTAATTGATTTATTTATAAAAGTAAAATATAGACATAACAAAGAAATTTTCCTTACGATGTAGACAATAAAAATGTTTAACACTCAAATAGACTAAGCTATTTTTATTCCAAACGCATCCTACTAAACAGTTCACACCTCATATATCTGAACTAGAGACTCACCCTCGCTCCGCTCGGTTTCGTCCCTACTTACATCTTAACATTTAGTATAGATTTCTTAGGAATGAGATATTTTCTCGCAATAAAAAGTATCCTATATGTTGACCCGGATAACCAGCTATCATCGTACCAAATTTCATCAAAATCGGTCCAGTGGTTTTTCTGTGATGCGGTAACAGACAGACATCATAATATATATTATATTGAATGGACGAATAATGCTTCAAAAGGATATATTTTGTATGTACGAAGGCAAATTTCATATAATATATGTATGTGTGTATGTAACATTTCTCTTATGATTAAAATAATACAGAAACATGTTATATGTAACATATAAATATTATATATACAAAAGCGTTATAGGTTATTTACAAATATGTTCACAAAGTGTAAACTAAAGCTTACGCCAATAGTATGTATACCTAAATAGCAAAGCAATTAGTCGCAACTAGCCCAACCATTAGCATATGAATATCGTCACCATTAGCATATGAAAATCAGCACTTATGTTTGTTTTGATAGATTTTTCGAGTAGCTTGTTATGACACGATTATCTTGAGTGAAATTTGTATTAGTTTTACATTTTGCATCTTAATTTTATAAATATATAATTCACACATATTCACATATGCACACATTTATATAACTAATAAAATGGTAATATGTCCTATATATTCGGCGTAGGCCCTGAGATCAGATAGAATAGCCCCAATTAGGGCGGATCAATTTCGTTGTTGTTGTATGTGCCCTAGTAAAGTGTTTTCATATGTAATGTTATTAATAAATCACCATAAAATTACATGGACTTTTTCTTAAAGTTAACTTGAACAAGTTATGCAGCACGAAACTTCAAGCAATATGACCAAAAGCCAACGCAACTTAACAAGCTTTTCCAATTTTTGAATGTCAGTATAAAAACAAATTAGGTACCGGTTTATTAATCGGGTAAAATATGTCACTTCTCATGTGTTCATTATAAAATTTTCCTCGATTTTAACATGGTCGTCGTTATATGGTAATGTGAGAGTGTGAGATAAATCTTTGTTAACATTTTTATTTTGTTAATAATCTGAACATAAGTCACTAAGAAGTTTTTTTTATATATTATGAAAAGTATATAAATACAATGTAAATATGGGTTTAATAACTTCATTTGTTCTCTCTTATCTTATATCGTAATCTATTTTAATATAGCATAAGTATTGAATCTTAATGTAACATCTGTGCTAGTGT